CACAAAAATATATGGAGATTCTTTAACTAAATTTTATCGAATTTTTCTATGCCTTTTGTAATATATTTTTCAAATTATTACAAAAATTTGAGTTCAAATAAAATGATATTTCAAAAAAATCAACATAAATTCATTAAAAGATGCATTGATACTAAAAGAATATTTAAAAAGGCTGTACTTAAACTGCCGTTAAACGGTAGCTTACTAAAATGCCTGTGATAGGTATGACGTCGTTGATGTGACGCACTTGACGGCTTTATGCAATATAGGAATTTTATAAGGACTAACCAACGCTATCCACCCCACCAACTTAACCAACGCAACTAACCCCGACACTGATAAAAAAAATATAAAAAACAAATATGAATTAGTAAAAACCAACCAACAACCCCACCAAATAACCAACTAACCAATGAATTAACACCCTCCAAATAACCACGCTAACCAACCCGCCAAATAACTAAACCAATCCATCCAAAAAGAATGAAACCAATGCAATAAGATTACGCTATAAGCAAAAAAAATATAAAAAACTCTTGGTCGGCGTGAGATTTGAACCACGGACCATTCGCTCACGAAGCGATAGCCACGGAGCCACAGGTGCTCTTGCAAAATGCTTATAGCTAAGCATTACTTTCCGCCGACATGAACGACGTCACAATATCTATTAACGGCATTTTAATAGGCTACCGTTTAACGGCTGTTTAAGTACATCGTTAATTTAAAATTTCTGTAACCTTCAAGGTCAAGAGCAAAATAAAACACTAATTCTCCACAATACACCAAAACACTTTACTTTTACTCCAGACGCGCGTTTCGCTAACCATATTAGCATCATCAGCGAGATGATTAAAACTAAACTAATATCTACAAATTGAGCTCTTATATGGGCGCTCAGTTGGCACCGACCAATCGGCGCGAAACTAGCTAAGTGTAACTATTATTTATCAAGACTTAGGGCAATAGGAACAGAGAACTGCAAAGAATTGGAACTGGACACCATTATCTTTTGTACTACACGATGTACTTATCGTTTAAAAAACCTTCTGCTCTATTATTCTTGTTATAAAATTGTAAATGTTTCAAAAACACAGAATTTTAGTTATAGAAAAATTAAAACACTAAATCACCACAATACACCAAAACACTTTTACTTTTACACTGGACGTGCGTTTCGCTAACCATGTTAGCATCATCAGCAGATGATTATAAATTCAGTTTATAATCATCTGCTGATGTTGCTAACATGGTTAGCGAAACATGTGTAAAAGTAAAAGTGTTTTGGTGTATTGTGGTGATTTAGTGTTTCATTTTGCTGTGTAACACCAAAGGTTCCAACCCCCAACTGTAATATAGAAAATTTGTCATTGAATAAAAGTACAAACGAAGAAGCATAGGACTTAAAAAAAGGATAGGATAGAAGTTGTGTCAATAAATGCTAATAATGCGTACTGTATAACAAAAAAACGTCCAGCTAGCTTGGAAATGACGATTGATTATACCATACAAGCAACAACAAATATTATTTTTATATACAGGGTGGTCCGAACTGTATTCCGGCCTATAATCGCCAGCATATTCTGCAGATAAAAATAAGTAAAAAAGTTCGTATAAATGTATATCCTAAAATGCTTAGTTTCAGAGATACAGGGTGTAGTTAATGATACAAGTTTCATTTTTATTTCCATTTTTTCCAAATAATTTTTGAAGTAACGTCAATATTTTGATGAAAATTGGAGTTTTTTGACATGAGGAATTTGATTTTGATGTCAATATGACTCCTACTCATAGAAGGCGCCACCACCTACATGTGTTTTAACTGTTTTGAAGCGTAATAACTTTTTGTCCGTACCTGTATAAAACTACCGAGTGAAAAAATATACATCTCTGTGACTTTTTACGTAAAAAATATGTCTTTGTAAAAATCGCTACGAACAACCGTTCTCAAAATATTTAGAATGGAAATAGTCAATAAGAGATACATATACAAGACAACTTTTTTACGTAAAAAACGTCGTAAATGTATATTTTATTACTCAGTAGTTTTATACAGGTACAGATGAAAAGTTATTACTCTTCAAACCAGTTAAAAAATATGTAGGTGGCGCCCTCTACTAGTAGAAGTCATATTGACATCAAAATCAAATTTCTCATGTCAAAAAACTCCCAGACACGAATTTTTATCCAAATATTGACGTTACTGCAGAAATTATTTTGAAAAAATCGAAATAAAAAAGAAACTTCTATACCCTGTATCTCCGAAACTAAGCATTATATAGGTCATACAATAGGTAGGAACTTTTTTACCTATTTTTATCTGCAGAATATGCTGCCGACATTTCCGGAATACAGTTCGGACCACCCTGTATAAAAACCAGTTGTTATGTTTTAACAGCAGGATTACCAGCAAACCAAATATATTACCTGTCAGTAGATTTTTTATTCAAACTGATTAAATTAAAATTTCTAATATTAGGATATATAATTATCCTTTAATATAGATAATATTATAGAATAATTATATATCCTTATCCTTATAGAAGAAGCTCAATCATATTCAAATTTGGAATGAAAATCTTTATCTAAAAAAGAAAACATTCGACCAATGTGTACTACCAGTCATGACGTATGCATACAAAACCTGGACATGCAGGTGAAGAAAAACGAACATTATAAGGAAACTGCAGATCGCACAATGTTCAATGGAACAATATGCTGGGAATAACCAAGAGAGATCGTAAAAGAATAGAGTGGATACGACAGAAGACCCTGGTAATAGATGTCATCCACGGAGTCAAATCCCTCAAGTGGCAATGGGCAAGACGGATGGGGAAGTGAAAACCGGCCCGGGAATAACAGGCAACCGGCCCGAATCCACAAAAACAAAATGACCATAACGAAGAAGCATATTTTATTTATGAATATACAGGGTGTCCCAGAAATAAGTGCAAATATTTTTAACTGGTAGTAACAGTAGGTTTCGGTCTCAGAAACCCGCCTATAAGTTTTTTTTGCGAAAATTTGAAATTTTCTGGAAAAACATAGCTAGTAGATTAAATTTACAAGAAAGAAAATCCAGAAAACATCCAGAGGTTCTCAAAATTTAAGCAAAAAAGCATTATTATTTAGCAAAACCCCAAACAGAGAAAAAAATATTTCTTTTGCCCAAATCTGCCCCCTTAAAATACTTGCACTTATTTCTTGGACACCCTATATACTATATAAGTAAGGGTGATTTTCTCTCGGGCGAAAAAATCTCTTTTGCCTCCGATTTTTTAAACATATTGAAATTGTCTTGATCAAAATTTTTATAAAGATCAATATCAGATCGGACATCTGAATTATTTCTACAAAATAGCTCAGTTTCACAGAGTTCTACTGTTTTATTTCCATTATCGATAACGGTAATTTGATCTTGAATATATGCTACGATTTTCAATCACGATTTTGAGAAACTTTAAGACTTCCTGATTCATTCAGTTCAGCTGGCCTAATCCTCTGTGAAATACATTATTTTTAGCTTTTCTGGTATATACTTTCTTACACATTGTAGAAAGAAATTTTCTCTTTTATGGTACAGCAGCAAGTAGCAAAGTTTTAGGTTTACTAAAATTATAACTGTCTCAGAGAAAGACAGCTAACAATAGTTATTTTACAAATTGGTGTTTATGTTTAAAAGCAACTGACGATTATATTGATCTAATTGATTAGTTAGTTAGGGAGTTACTAAGAATCTTACGTAGCTTTATTTAGAAGATTAACCATTTAATTTTTGCTAAATCAACTTTTTTTGAGCTCTGATCGGGACTACCGGCCCACCGGGAATATTCCTGTTTTCCCATATGGCCCATCCACCCCTGCACCTGGCAAGAAGGACGGACAACAGATGGACCTCAAAAATTACAGCATGGTACCCACGAGGAATGAAAAGACCTAGAGGATGGCCAAACCTGAGATAGAACAAGGATATTATTAGCAGGGATAACTTGGGTCCGCATAGCTAACAATAGACAACAATTGGCCCAATTACAAAGAGAGTACATATATGTGAGTGAGGCTACACCATAATTGGAAATGGTTGAATAAGCTGAAAATGATAATGATGATGACAAAAAATTATAAATATAGATAACATACAGAAGAAAAGAAAAAAAATCTTATAATTGAAAACCCCAATAAGAAAACGAATTAAAATGTGTGTATTGTGTATACATGTATTATATTCTTAGAAATTACATTATCTGGTTTTATAAGATTGATTGTGTGTGACAAGTTAATAGATGATAAAAAAAACATCTCAAAAGTTTAGTTAAATTAGGAAAGTACAGTTGAATCAGAAACAAATTAATATCAATGAAAAAACATCAAAATAATTTTTCACAAGTGATGAAGTTACATCTAAAAATAATTGTGTAGTGGCAATAGTAGTCAAAATAGATATATTTATAGGTACAATAAAACAAAATTTAATTAAGTGCACAAATAAAAGATACAAAAAGAATATATTTCTAGAAATACTGATAAAAATTCATTTTAACTCCTGAAGATTCCTTAAGAGAAGATTCTAATTAATTCAATTATTAAAACCAATCTTGTGAATGTGTATAATCATAAGCTGAAAACTATAATTAAAAACCACAAGAAAAATTGAAACTTATGTAAATTCTTAGAAAGAAATAAACAGCTATCATACTTGAAAGATGTAATTATTATCACAAGCTTTCGTTTTTATATGGAAATTGCTTATATAGATTTCTCAAAATGCTGATTGAAATTGTACAAGAATGACAACAACATCCTTAAAACATAATATACTCTTTGATCCATACAGAGCCAACAAACACTGAACAAATCATAAATCATGATTTAAATCATTTTATTTAAATCATGCCAACCCTGCTTTAATCACTTCTATCATAGTTATCTCTTAACTAGCTGTTTTGTGATTATACTTCCCACAAAATTAAATCTGGGTTATTGATTTAGGCCACTTCACTTACCAAAACTTGCAAAGTACTCAGCAAAACCTGCTTCTTCCCTTATCTTCACTAAAATCGCTACTATCGTTCGATGATAACACTTTCCATCACATACGAGCACATCTACTAGTACCGAATTCACAGCGACCAAGAAAGAAAGCAGACGATTTGAGTACTAATTGGACATAAGCGCCATAGTCTATTATATAGACTCGGCAGCATCCTTTGCGTACGGTACTGCCTCGGGCGGTACGGTGCTCCTTGAACGAGGCGAGATGAGCGGGCGCAAAGAGTTATTGGCGGAGGGACTTTTTTTAATTGTTTTTTCGTTTGGATTCGCTAGCGTATCCTGGTCAGGATTTATCGAGGAAGGATTGGATCGGGCTGAAGATGGTATAAAGTGATTAAGAGATGTTTTTTTTAATGAGACAGTCGTTTGAAACGGAACTTCAGCTAAAACTGGCTGTTAGGGTGCACCAAAAAAAATATATATACAGGGTGCTACAAATTCGAGGTACGAGCATTGGAATATCGGAAACCGTAACAGATACGAAGAGGGTTAAATTGAGGCAAAGTTGTGTTTTTGGTTGTTTACCAATATGCCATCAAAAAAGTTTTTAAAATTTGAGTTTTTTGGAAAAGACGGATTTTTTTAAAAATGAATTTTATTTTTTTCTGTCGTTACTTTTTAGAAAATCAAAAAACTAATTTCACATTCTCATAGCCACTTTATTAGAGCTATCTGATAGTATTTTTCGATTTTCAAATTAGCTGATAATTTGTGAGATACAGAGGCCAACTTAATTTTTTTAAATACGGATCTGCATTTTTTATTTCAGTTTTTGAAAGAACTCGGTTTCTTGAGTACAATAATATGCCACACTTGATACTTTTTTTTTGTTTTTGTTACCTTAACAACAACAAAACTATTTAATTATTATTTAAAATAATTTCAAGTCCAAGTCTGGTTTTTTAAATTATTCTGATTATATTCAATCCAACAATATTGATCAGCGCTGATTAACATTGAATAAGAAAAATCGAGCCAATTATTCAAATAAATAATAACCAGGTCAGCAATTTAAAGATATTATTTTCAACTTTTTTTATTATGAATTTGAAATTTCAGTGTACGATCTAAAAATATGCATAATATTAATCGTCGTTATTATAAATTAATCAACTTCTACAAACTAATTTTTTTAAATGCATTTTGTACTCTTTATTGTAAATGTTGAAAAATAATGATTTCACTTTTACAAATGACAAGTAATCCAAAACCCCTCCGCCCCTTGGCGACAGATCCAGGAACCTCGATAGCCATTATACTGCTCTACCATTACCAATCCATCTTCCGGGGAAATTATATGATTATTTATATTATTTATTTTATATTATTTTTTATTACATTTGATTTTCCGTATTCAATGTTTTACCCCACGTCATTGTTAAGTTTGAAGGCTTATCAATATTGTAACAATGAATAGATTAAAGATTTAAAAAAAGCAGAGCCGGACTTGAAATTAGTTTAAATAAATTGTGTTCAAATGTCCAAAACAAAAAAAAGTATCAAGTGTGGCATATCATTGTACTCAGGAGACCGAGTTCTTTCAAAAACTGAAATAAAAAATGCAGGTCAGTATTTAAAAAAATTAACTCGGCCTCTGTATATCACAAATTATCAGCTAATTTGAAAATCTAAAAATACTATCAGATAGCCCTAATAAAGTGACTATGAGAATGTTCAGTTAGTTTTTTGATTTTCTAAAAAGTAACGACAGGAAAAAATAAAATTGATTTTCGAAAAAATCCGTTTTTCCAAAAAACTCAGCAATCCTTGACATTTTAAAACTTTTTTGATGGCGTCTTGATGAACATCCCAAGGCGCAACTTTGCTCCAATTTAACCATCTTCGTATCTATTACGGTTACCGAGATACCAATGCTCGTACGTCGAATTTGTGGCACCCTGTATATTTTTTTTTTATTTTAGTTACCTTGAAAATATCGTTCACGATGATGAAACAAAAATTCTAGAAAACTCTAAGCTCTTAATATTAATATTAAGAGGTGTCTCATTGTAATTTTCTAGATTTTCTAAAGAAAACAAAGTACTCCTGTACTGGGTGCCAGACCGCCCAGGGATTGAAGATAAAGAGAGAGAAAATGATCGAGTTAGAAAAGGAGCGAACAGTCCCAGTAACTGCACCAGAACCGTTCTGCTTCCTAAGTGGATACCAACTAAAAGCGGAACTCAAGAACTTGGAAGACTCTATCCGTACCGTGGAATGGAAATCTTGCAACGGTCTAAGATACTCAAAGACATTTCTGAGGACTCACAACCGAGGAAATTAAAAAAAAACGTTTGATTTAAGTAAGAACAGTCTTCGAATTGTCACGTGGTTTTTAATAAGACACTATCTCCTCAATGAACTCCTCGGTCGATTGAAGCTAAGAAAAAATGTTGAATGCAGATTCTGCGGGGAAAATAGGGAAACACCAGAACACTCTCAAAAAATTGTCAAACACTGTGAAAAATTATGAATATGATTATTTTTATTTGCTATTATTATTAGTACTATTATAAATTCATCATCAAAATTATTGATTCTTAATAGATTTCTTGAAGGTCGTATAGAGGAAAAACCGAAGATTCAAATAATTAAGAAAGGAACAACAAGATGCCTAATGCGTACATCTCTATCAAAAAAGGTATTGTACTACGTTAAATAATAAATAACATATATTTTCCTTGATATGATGTACATACATGATTAATTAAATATTTTCGAATTCGTATTTACTATTTTCTTCCTAGTGTTTTTTTTTCGGGTTCATCATATCATCAAAGGCGATGATGAGTATAACCCTGTCGATGATCAATCAAAATTAATATTGAATTATCTCACATCATAAATTGCGAAGATTTAAAAAGTATATAGTTGCAGGTAATATGTACAAGTAAGTTTTTTTTTCTTATTTCTTATACAGGGTGTCCCAGAAATAAGTGCAAATATTTTAAGGGGTGGTAGATCTCAATAAAAGAAACATACATATTTTCTCTTTATCGTTTTTTAAATAAGTCAAAATAACGGAGTTATTTTACTTCGAAAATTTCCAAAAAAAAATGATTTTTTACTAAAATTTTGAGAACCACTGAATCTTTTCTGGATTTTCTTTCTTGTAAATTTAATCTACTACCTATGTTGCCATCTTATCAAGAAATTATGTTTTTTAAATAAAAACTAAAAAAAAATCCAAAATTTTTAAAGGAAAATAAAAAGAAATGTTAAAAATTATTTTATCATAATTTTGCAAACTCAGAAATAGAAAGAGGTGGAAGAATTGCATGGGTCTCCTCACCTGACCTCTCCATTTTAGATTTTTTTAGACGTATAGTTAACAATAAGGGTTACAAAAGAACTTATGAATTTCCACAGAACAGTTGACTATGGCCGGTCGACTTTAATCAACTTCTCCCCGAGCTTCTCCCTTACCGCCTCTTCGAGTGCATCTCTTAATTCATAAGTAACTTTTGTAACCCTTATTGTTAACCATACCCCCTAAAAATATTAAAATGGATAGGTCAGGTGATCGAGGAGGCCCATGCAATTGGTCCACCTCTTCCTATACCTGAGTTTGCATAATTATGATATAAATGATGATTTTTAACATTTCTTTCATTATTAGGGGGGGGTGTTATAATGAAAGTCATGTTGGAACCATTTACCAACTCGGTTATTCTGGACTTATTGGAAAAAAGGTAAAGAGAAAATATATTTCTTTTATCGAGATCTATACCAGCCCTAAAAATATTTGCACTTATTTAAAACTCAGCCTGTATAGCTAAAATTTTTATAAATTAAATGATGTCATATACAGGGTTGTTCACCACATACGAACGGAATATTGAAGCTAAACGATTAGATTTTTACAAATTGTAAGTTTTGGGTTCGTTGAAGGACTATTAGAGCGACAATTTAAAAATATTTTTACAAGATACAGAGTGTCTCAAATAACTAAAAAATATCAAAGTTGTATTTTTTTAAATGAGACACCCTGTATATTATTACATTTTTAGTTTCTACGATTAAAATAAAGGTAAATTTGATTAAGGTTTATTACACTTAAACCTTACCGTTTTTAAAATATTTTCAATTTTGTGAAATTGCAGTATAAATTTTAAGGCTTCATTTCTCCGAGGGTATCAAAGTTTTTAATACTAAATATTTACTGAAGTTTATTTATTGATCAGTTATTGTGTTGCAATAATAAATATTTTACTACCTTATACTGAGTGTCTAAATATTTATTTCAAATAATTATTAGCTTTAAACGGCAATAACTTGTTTAATTTAAATGGAACACCCTGTATATTTTATGAGAATCAGATGCACAATTTAATTGTCTATCAAATTGTGTTATACCATTTTTTGCCTATCTCTTCAAGTTTCCGTAGAAAATGAATTTTCTTGTAATTTAGAACTCATTTATCAATATACCCATGAAATACTGACAATTTAGGTTATTTTTAAAGATGTACCAAATTTTTAAAGAGTACAGATAGTAATATTGTCGATATAATTCGTTTATTTCATTAAAAAATAAAAAAAACTGTTTAAATATTTGTTAAAGAGAACCAATTAATATGATTCCAGTATTCAAACTACATTAATTGACTGTTTGCGATGATTAATAATAATTGCTCCAAATACTAAAAAACTGAATTATATATGTGTATTAGACAGTGTGGTAAAACAAACTAACACCTTAAAAATTATATTTCATTTTTTGACAAATTCTTATTTTTAACAAAGACGTTCATTTTCATAACTTATTATTATATTGATTTCTGATTTAAATCCACATTTATTTAGAATAATTTATTAACGAACACAATTAAATATGTAATTAATTAGTATTTGGGCGGAAATACTGGTGGTATATTTAATTAATGGTATACTCTTTTGTAAAGATTTACATAGTTTTCTTTTTGCATACAAATGGGCTAGTAATATTATCGTTTTACTAAAAACGATAATATTACTAGCCTGTACATTTGTTGTTTTAAAAACAATCTAAAATGTCAATATTCCATGGGTATATTGATAAATGAGGTCTAAATTATAAGAAAATGCATTTTCTACGAAAACTTGAA